GTGGCGAAGGCACTGGGGATGGAGTTCCAGAGCCTCGGGGCTGAGAGGCTGAAGGCCCGGCCACCGATGATAGGGCGGTTAGGGCGGGGGATGTAGAGTAGACCGGAGCCAGAGGAACGGAGGGTACGGGCAGGTAAGTAGGAGGATAGTAGGTCGGAGAGGTAGGAGGGAGTGAGGCCGTGAATGGCCTTGTAGGTGAGGATGAGGATTTTGAATTCGATCCTCTGGGGGATGGGGAGCCAGTGGAGGCGAGCGAGGGCGAGGGTGGGAGTGATGTGGTCACTGGTGCGGGACAGTACACGAGCTGCAGAGTTCTGAATGACCTGCAGTGTGGAGGGAGGGCCGGGAAGGCCGGCGAGGAGAGAGTTCCCATAGTCCAGCCTTGAGGTGATAAAGGTGTGGACCAGAGTTTCAGCCGCGTGAGGGGTGAGGTAGTGCCGTAGTCTGGCGATATTCCGGAGGTGATGGAAGGCGGTGCCAGTTGTGGTGCGGATATGAGGAAGAAAGGACAGCTCAGGGTCGAACAGAACCCCGAGGTTCCTGATGGCTTTGAGAGGTGGAGAGTGCGGCCTTGGATGCTGATGCTGTCAGCGCCTGAGGTGCGGAGGCGCTGACGTGAGCCAATCAGGAGGGCCTCAGTTTTGCGCACATTGAGCTGAAGAAAGTTGTCTCTCGTCCAGGACTCGATGTCGGACAGACAGCTGTCAGGACATCGGAGGTCGTGGAGTTGAGGGTAGAGGAGGAAAGGTAGAGTTGGGTGTCATCCGCATACATGTGGAAGTTAACCCCATGTCTGCGGATGATGTCACCACAGGGGCAGCACATAGAGGGTGAAGAGGAGGGGACCGAGGACAGAACCCTGAGGGATACCGCACGAGACAGTGCGGGGGTGGAGGAAAAGCCATTTGTGGAAACAAAATGAAAATGGTGGGAGAGGTATGACCTAAACCACTCAAGGACAGGGCCTTGAAGGTTGAGGTGGGAGGACAAGCGGTGGAGGAGGATAGCGTGGTCGACCGTATTGAATGCGGCCGATAGGTTGAGGAGGACGAGGAGGCAGAGGGAGCCCTGGTCACAGATGGTCAGGATGTCATTGGTGACCTTGACCAGGGCAGTTTCTGTGCTATGGGCAGCACGGAAACCTGACTGAAGGGGTTCGAATAATGAATGGGTGGAGAGGAAAGAGCGCAGCTGGGAGGTGATGACTCTTTCAAGGACCTTGGACAGGAATGGAAGGTTGGAGATGGGCCGGTAGCTTGATAACAACAACTTCACGGTACTTCAACAACTTATTTTGCCACTCAGCCTCCTCTGAGTGCCGAAATTCTCTATTTCCAACCTCAGCCCGCAGTATCCCAGGTTACCTTGGGGTTGGGGAACATTATCAACGTTTGCCCCTAGTTTCAATCCCTGTATCACTTTTATCACCTTCTTTTCATATTTCAAAGCCCATTTTAGTGGACCCTTCTCCGAGGGGTACTCTCAATCATCCCTTTAACTGCTTATTTACTAATTACCGATGTACTCGAAGAGTCCGGTCCCTCAGATGCTGATATCTAAACAAAATATCCAACAGCCCATTTTTTTTTAACACTCAGACGTTGATATATTCAAACATCCAACAGTCTACTTTTTAAGATGTTCAAGGACTGAACATCTACAGCCTTCTGGGGTAGTGAATTCCATAAATTCCATAAATTCACTACCCTCTGAGTGAAGAAATGTTTCCTCTGTTTTAAAAGGCTGACCATTCATTTTCAGACTGTGACCCCTGGTTATAGATTCTCCCACCGGGGAAACAGACCCTCAGTGTCTACTTTATCAGCCCTTTAAGAATCTCATATGTTTCAATAAGATCCCCCCTAATTCTTCTGTACTCCAGAGAATACAGCCCTCGTTTATTCAGCCTCTCCTCATAGGTCAGTCCCCTCATCCCAGGAACTAACCGAGTGAATCTACGCTGCACCCCCTCGAGGGCAAGTATGTCCTTTTTTAAATAAGGAGACCAGAACTGCACATAATACTCTCGGTGCGGTCTCACCAGGGCCCTATACAGTTGCAGCAAGACTTCCCTACTCTTGTACTCTAAACCTTTTGCAATGAACGCTAACATGCCGTTCGCCTTCTTAGTTGCTGCTGCACCTGCAAACTAACTTTTTGAGACTGGTGTACAAGGACACCCAAATCCCTCTGAACACTAACACTATCTAATCTCTCCTCCTCTAGAAAATAATCTGTTTTTCTATTTTTTCTATCTAAATGAATAACTTCATACTTCCCGACATTAAATTCCATCTGCCACCTACTCGCCCACTCCCCGAGCCTATCTATATCCCGTTGCAATCTTTTTGCATCATCCTCAGAGCTTACTCTCCCACCGAGTTTAGTGTCATCCGCGAATTTAGATACGTTACATTCAATGTCCTCGTCGAGATCATTGATGTAAATTGTAAATAGCTGAGGCCCAAGCACTGATCCTTGTGGCACTCCACTAGTCACCTCCTGCCAATTCGAGAATGACCCGGTTATCCCTACTCTCTGTTTTCTACCCGTTAGCCACTCTTCAATCCGTGCTAATATGTTCCCATTAATCCCGTGGGCCTTAACCGTGTGCAATAGCCTTTTGTGTGGCACTTTGTCAAATACCTTCTTAAAATCTAAATATACTACATCTACTGGTTCCCCCCTATCTAACCTGCAGATACATCTTCNAAAAACTCTATAAGATTAGTTAAGCATGACTTCCACTATCATCTCAGTAGCCACCTCTTTTAAAACCCGAGGATGTAGGCCTTCAGGTCCAGGGGATTTATCAGTTTTAAGACCTGACAATTTACCTAAAACCATTTCTTTACTAATATTAATTCCCCCAAGTTGCTCGCTAACATTGTCTTCTTGGTTCCCCTCTATTCTTGATAGGTTGTCAGTGTCTTCTAAGGTGAAGACAGTAGCAAAGTACTTGTTTAATGACTCTGACATGTCTTTGTCCCCTACTATAATTCCCCCCCGTCTCTGCCTGTAATGGACCTACATTTACCTTTGACAGCCGCTTCCTCTTTATATATTGGTAAAAACTCTTACAGTCTGTCTTTATGTTCCTCGCAGTTTGCCCTCATATTCCATTTTCTCCCTCTTAATCACTTTTTTGGTTCTCCTTTGTTGATCCCTAAAGTTCTCCCAATCCTCGGGTTTACTACTCATCTTAGCTGTTTTATAGGCTTCTTCCTTTAACTTTATACTGTCCCTAACTGCTTTAGTGAGCCACGGTTGGGCCACCTTTCCCGTGGCATTCTTATTCCTCAAAGGAATACGTGCTCGCTGGGAATTTTGCACTGTCTCCTTAAACGTCTGCCATTGCTGGTCTACTGTCAAATCCTGAAGTCTAATTTCCCAGTTTATTTTAGTTAAATCCTCTCTCATACCAGCATAGTTGACTGTACTTAAATATAAGACCTTTGCTTCGGACTTAACTACTCTCTCTAACTTAATCCTAAATTCCATCATATTATGATCACTTTGCCCAAGAGGAGCCTAAATTTCCAGTTTGCTGATCAGCTCTGCTTCCTTGCACAAAACAAGGTCTAATATGGCCTGTTCCCTGGTTGGCTCCTCGGTATACTGATCCAGATAATTATCCCTAATACATTCTATAAACTCTTCCTCTATCTTACTTTTCCCAATTTGGTTGTCCCAGTCTATATGCAGATTAAAATCACCCACAATTAATGTTTTTCCTTTGCTACATGCTCTGCTAATTTCCTGATTGATATCTTGAGAGATACTGGCCCATCGTATCTGTGCCAGCTATTGGGAAGAGCTACCCAATCCATCTCACTCCCCCCACTCTTTTTCTTATAGTTGTTATTGAATCTCATTCCCCAACCTTTCAGGCCGTGCTTTCCAGACCGCAACAACTCACTGTGTTCTTTTGCCAATTATCTTGAATCTATGTGCCCTACTTACCAACTCAACTGTCAGTGGAAACAGTTTCTTCCTTTCAACAACAGCAACAACAAGATTGCATTTATAGAGCGCCTTTCACGTCGGGAGGACGTCCCAAGGCGCTGTACAGTTGGGTCAGGACCCGAGCATTGGGGGGAAATGGTCAGGGTGAGGGGAGGGAAGGGAGGAAGTGGTAGAGAGTCGAGAGGGAACAATAGAAACAGTTTCTTCCTTTCAAAACCCCTTATCATTTTGAACCCCTCTATTAAATCTTGGCTTAACCTTCTCTGCTCTAAGGAAAACAATCCCAGCTTCTCTAGTCTCTCCACGTAACTAAAGTCTCTCATCCCTCGTGCCATCGTGGTAAATCTCTACACCCTCTCCACAGCCTTGACAACCTTCCTAAAGTGTGGTGCCTCACCTTCGAAGATGGTACTTTGGGTTGTCACAGTACATATAACAACAACAAATTACATTTAAATAGAAATTTACATTTCATGCATCTGCAGTATTTTACCTTTTGTTTATCAGGGAGAGATACCACCTGGGGTCAGGGGAAGGTGAGGCGACCACCGGTCAGAGGGAAAGAAACCGAGTGACGGAACTACCCCGGGCAGGCGCAGAGTGCGGAGCATGCGCATAAAAATATTTGGTGTAGTATAGTACAGGGTATGTTTTTATTTGGAGTCCTGTAGCTCAGCGGTTGGAGCACTCGCGAGGACCTGGGTTTGATTCCCGGGCGCGCGCGCCTGGTCACCAGCAGTCAGTAGGAACCTGGTTGTTAAGTCACTTTTCCAGGGGTAATAATTCCTTCAAAAAATTTTTTTTTGCTGTGTGCAATTGGCTGCTGCATTTCACCCCCAAAATATGCAGTCACTACATCTTCGCACTCTAAGACGGTGCGAAGATGTGGTGAGGATCATTATTGTTATTATATGATTAGGGGCGGGGCGAGGGGGCCAGGGGGCGGGGCAAAGTGAGGGGGCGGAGTGAGGGGCGGGGCGAGGTGAGGGGCGGGGCGAGGGGTGAGGGGTCGGGGCGAGGGGCGGGGCTGAGCTGGGGTTACCTGCGCGCAAGCGCGGTGACGTCGCGCCCTTGGCCATCGCAGTCGGAGGTGCGTGCGCAGCGGTGGCGGGCGGGAGGGCGAGAGAAGCTTCTGGAATAATGTGAGGCGATCGGGCATTCATGGGGGAAGAGCAGGGTAAGCTCAGCACCTGCCGGGCCGGGGGGGAGCGGGGCCGGGGGCCGGGGGGGAGCGGGGCCGGGGGCCGGGGGGGGAGCGGGGGGCCGGGGGGGAGCGGGGCCGGGGGCCGGGGGGGGAGCGGGGCCGGGGGGGAGCGGGGGCCGGGGGGGGAGCGGGGCCGGGGGGGAGCGGGGGGGGGAGCGGGGCCGGGGGCCGGGGGGGGGGAGCGGGGCCGGGGGCCGGGGGGGGGGGGGGCCGGGGGGGGAGCGCGGCCGGGGCCGGGGGGGGCGGGGCCGGGGGGGGGGGGGGGGGCGCGGGGCCGGGGGGGGGCGCGCCGGGCCGGGGGGGCCGGGGGGGAGCGGGGGCCGGGGGGAGCGGGGCCGGGGCCGGGGGGAGCGGGGCCGGGGGGCCGGGGGGAGCGGGGGGCCGGGGGGGGGGGGAGCGCGCCGGGCCGGGGGGCCGTGGGGAGCGCGCCGGGCCGGGGGGGGTGGGGAGCCGGGCCGGGGGGGGTGTGGGGAGCGCGCCGGGCCGGGGGGGTGTGGGGAGCGGGGGGGCCGTGCCGGGGGGGGTGGGGAGCCGGGGCCGGGGGGGGTGTGGGGAGCGGGGGGCGCCGGGCCGGGGGGGGAAGCGGGGGCAGACGCTGTGTGAACCGGAGGAGGTGGCGGATGAGGGGCTTCATTTGTCCCCAAAAGGCAATCCAGAGCCCTGTAGCTCAGTAGCTGAAGCCCCCGCCCCTGGGCTCCACTCCCCGGGTCAGGGTGAAACGTTGGGCAAGTTTCCTGACTCCATTCGCCGCTGTTTACCAACAGTCAGTAGATTGTTGGATCGCTTCAGGTGTAATAATTCCTACCAAAAAAAATAATTTGGTCACTCAATCCAGACTGTGGGACAGCCGCTGCTGTGCCATTGGGCTGCCGCGTTTCGTCCACAAAATACACTTCAATAGAAGAAAGTGGGTTACGTTTCAGGTCGATGACCTTTGGTCACTTTCCATAGATGCTGCCTGATCTGCTGAGGCTTCCCAGCGACTTCTGTTTTTATTTCATTTGTCCCGCACCGATTGAATGTGCTGACTTGTGCTGGCGCTGACTATACTGTATTTAGCTAGTTACCCACCACCATCTCAGCCAAACTATTATTAATAATAGTAATAAATGTCCTTGCATTTGATATTGCATCTTTTGTTGTCAGGAGGCTTCAAAGTGCTCACTTAACATTGTTTAGTGCAGTGACTATATTTTGTAGGCAAGCATAGCAGCGTGGCTCAAAGCCTGTTTGATTTGGGTTGACCCTCTCTGGTAGTCTTGGTTGTTTGGTACCTGAGCTAGGCGGGTGCTGATGACAGCACAGCCAACCTGGCTCATCGGTAAGACCTACAAAAACAACAACAACAAGATTCCATTTATATAGCGCCTTTCACGTCAGGAGGACGTCCCAAGGCGCTGCACAGTTGAGTCAGGACCCGAGCAGGGGGAAATGGTCAGGGTGAGGGGAGGGAAGGGAGGGAGCGAGGAGGGGGAAGAGAGTCGAGAGGGGAGCTGAAGGCTCGGTCAAAGAGAACCTCGAAACGTAGACCAATCCCTAGGAGCAAGGAGTCATCCCATTTAGCTCCTGTTAACCCTGCAACCAAAGTTAGGTAGAATAGTCAGTCCTAGTAGTACAAGCAGCGGGAAGGAAAGCTTGCTGGACAACAATATCAATGGCAAGCTATGCAGGTTTAGCTTGTTAGATTCCAACAGTTACCCCAACGCAACTCTGTGGGTTGCAAAGCTTTGGCTCTCCGGAATTAGGTAAGCAGGATGCATCCCTCCAGGGAGAGAGAGCGCATTCCATTCCAATAATCTATCTCTGGGATTTCCATGTTTAGGTGGAATGCATGGATATCTCAGTTTGGTTTGGATACTTTTAAGCACGGGTGATTGGTTTCAATATGCGTCAGACACCTGGCTGACCCCCCAAAAAGCATTATTTTCAATTCTCTTATTAATGTATTTTGTCAGTAAAGCCTTGACATGCTCCCAAACTTCCTGTGTTGCAGTGTGTGACAAGTGTGGTTTTAATTTCAGTCAACCTTTGTACAGTTGACTTGACATGAAAACTGAGCCAACAATTCCATCCACCTATATAATGTATATACATATATATCACACAAATTGTATGAAATATTGTTTTTGATCAAGAAGTGAGAAAAAGAAATTGACAAGTGACTTGTCCATATTTTCTCCACCATATTTTTCTACTCCCTCTTTCCTGATAATATTGTTTGTGCACCATCTGTCCAAGTTGCCATTATTCATACGTGAGTATGATCAGCTTCTAGACTGGGAGGAGGGTGGAAATCATATCTGAACTAGATGCAGGTCAGTTGTAGCACCCCAAGTGCTGCTCCAGCTGAAATTGGCTAATTCAGCATAAACTGGGTATTGAACTTTGAGCCTCTGTTGCTCACTGATGACTGGATAAACTGTTGAGCAACTAATTGAACTTCCATCTTTCATATTTTAACAGATAGTGTAGAATGTTTTAAAAGAGATAAACTATAGTTTAACATGCCTGGTTTCAGGACTTTTGAAGAGAATGTTCTCAGAAGTAACAGCATCATTTTGCATGAAAAATGGCTTTACAAGATAACTGCAACAGATCTTATGCATCCTTTTTTTAAAAAAAATAGTACAGATTTTTTCTGTGTCTTACCGCACCTAGTTTTTAGTGCGTGTCCACAATTTATTTTAAATTTATTTATGCAGCACATTTGAAAATGTTGCAGAATTACAGTATACTCTTTCCCTTTGATATGTAAAATCCAATGATGAGTATAATTTTTCTGTTTGATTATCTTTCTAAGTTTTCTAAGATTAAAATATAGTGACATTTGCAAGAATACGTTCTAAATGAAGTCCCTGAACTTTAAAGGATTAAAGAAAATTAACAAATCCAACAGTACCACAGTATGAGTTATGATCATCAGGAAAAAAACTAAACAACTGAGAAGGAATTTAATTTCTCCCAAAGTGATTTCAGTAGGTATGCATAGTTGAAATACTGCAATACTTATATGAAAACTGATGGTTTCTTATAAAATGGTAATTTTTTTTCAGTGCAGCATTATTTGAACTACATTATATGAATCTTGAGCAAAATGCATAAACTGAATTAGAATTTTTTTTACTACCAGATATGACCATAATCAGCACATTGTGTGTTCTGACTTAGGTATTAGCTAAGCAGAGGAAATAATGTTGTCAGTGTGTTTATAGAAGTCTTTTCTGTCTCCAGGTACAGAGATCTGGCAATGTGCAGGGTGTGGTGGCCATGTAACAGATCCACGAACTCTGATCAGAATTGTAAATAAAGTATGGCACTCTTCCTGCTTCTGGTGAGTGCAATTTCATTTTTTTTTAAAAAAGCAAGGATAAATGTGCTGCCCGATGCAGCATTATGCCATAAAGATCAGAAAGTCAGAGGTCTATTTTTGATGATGCCTGCCAGAGAATTTGTCTGTGGAGAATTTGCATTTGAACAATTTTACTCTGGCAGTGTATTCAGGCACCTATGGAATTCTAACCTAGGTAGAGTGGAGAAAATGAGTCAAAGGAAATTGGGGAGGGGGGAATTGGAGGTAAACAATTTTGCAAAATGAGCAAGATTGAAGATTTCATCAGTAAGTCAGTTGTTCACTGAGTTCACCAGAATTTAAGTTGGAAGTCTTAAGCTCCTGAAACAGCTGGACCAAAATGCCACAATCATAGTTGCTTTTTTAATTCCTGCAGCAAAGTTGTACATTTAATTATTTTGAGTTAAGTTAATAACTCTCCTCACCATTACTGAACACCCCTGACTCCCACACTGGCAATTGCATTGCAAGATGATTTATTTTGGAAAAATTGAAAGCAGATTACTGAGGCTGCTATAGATCAAAAGATAATGTTTAAGTAATTGATGAATGTGTTGTGATTTGGATCTATTCAATGTTATGATTTAAGATCTCTTGGAATTGCCTTGCTTGTATCATCTGGTGAACACAGGAATGTAAAGAACTGAAACCAAAACAAGTGCAGTCCATCTTGGTAGACTCATAGTATAGTTTTTTTTAAATCACACACCAATTTACCTCTCAACTTTTTCAATTGATTTCTTTACCAAACAGCTACTTTTGCTTCTTGAGTTTGTTGCCACATTCTGCCTCCACTGGGTTCTAGGGTAGTTGATTCCAAGTATTCACCACTTGGTGTAAAGTAATTCAATCTGAGTCTTTTCATCTTGACTCATTTGAGCTTGAGTCGACGCCCCTTGTAAATAGCACTGCCTCAAAATGTTTTTCTTCCTTTAGTACTCTTGGTTGATTTTTAGGTTTTTTTTGATCAGTTTTTTAATGTTCAGGAGGGAGGAAGTGGGTAAAGTGGTTAAACATATAGCTAACGAATCTCAGATACCCAAATCATTAGAAATCAGCACATCAATCTTTTTGGAAACTTATTTTACAGTAAATATCCATGANTTTTTTTTCTCTCTGGTTTGCTCTTAATTCTTTCCTCCCCAGAGTTTGCCAACAGATTGGTTTGGGGTCAGTTGTGAATGTGTGTGTACACACAAATCTTTTAACACTGATTACTAATTCTCAGAATTTTAATTTAACAATTTGGCAATTTTGCCCAGTGTCATATTCAATTTGTTATTGTTGGTTTAGTGTAATGGTAAATGTCTATAAAATATTTTGCCTTTTCTACCTGTGTCATAGAATTATACAGCACAGCAGGAGGCCATTGCGCCTATTGTTTCTGTGCCGACTCTTTCAAAAGAGCCAAATCAACCCCACTCCCCCGCTCTCTCCCCATAGCCCTGATCAGCCCCACTCCCCCGCTCTCTCCCCATAGTCCTGATCAACCCCACTCCCCCGCTCTCTCCCCATAGCCCTGATCAACCCCACTCCCCCGCTCTCTCCCCATAGCCCTGATCAACCCCGCTCTCTCCCCATAGTCCTGATCAACCCCACTCCCCCGCTCTCTCCCCATAGCCCTGATCAACCCCACTCCCCCGCTCTCTCCCCATAGCCCTGATCAACCCTACTCCCCCGCTCTCTCCCCATAGCCCTGCAAACTTGTCCTCCCCAAATAATTATCTACTTCTCTCTTAAAACTTGTTAGTGAATCAACTTCCACCAGCCTTTCAGGCAATGCATTCCAGATCCCAACAACTCGCTGTGTGTAAAAAAAGTAATAAAGTGATGTTTGATGTCAAATTGGCTCAGTTAGCTTGGCCTGATTGGTACCAGTTTCGCCTCTGGTTAGAAGGCTGTAAGTTCAAGTCCTTCCAATGGGCGCTTTGATTTCATATTTCACTGCAGCTATTGAGGGAGCACTGAATTGTCAGAAGTGTGGTCCTCTAGGTGAGAGATTAAACAGAGATCCTGTCTGCCCATTCAGGTGGCCATGAAAAGAACTCATGTCACTATTTGAAAAAAAGCTTCTCCTGTAGTCCTGGGCAATAAATCCATCAGCTAAATTGATCATTCACCTCTTGATTATTTGTAGGACTTTACTGTGTACAAATTGTCGGCCCCTTTCTCCCACAAATAGTTATTACACTAAAGCCCTGACTAAGGGGGTGGGGGGGGATATTGAGTCTGACAAGTGGGACTTTCCAACTAAGTGTAATTTATGGCATTTTTTGGCTTTTTTTGCCATAGGCATTTTCCGTGCTGAAAAATATCATTAACGGCATTGTAATTGAATTGTATGAGCAGAATATAGTGAATAAACTGTCTTTTGCTCATGGGATTCAAACTGAGTCAAAGTCAGTGTCCCTGGCCGCTGAAGGCCAGCAAGGATGGTGAAGCTGGAGCACGTATTAGGAGAGTGGGTTGATGGGAGTCTACATGTGCGCAAGCCCGTGGAATCGCTTTTTTTAATTCCATTTTAGGTCCATTCTGGCTGGGTACAAATTACAAATGCACAAGTCAAAGTCTGGGGCTTTCCTGTAATTGCTGTGAAGTGGTTTGAGATGCCTTGACAGGATTATTATTATTACTGCTGTGGAGAGTATACAGTATTAGATTCATGAGGGTGAAACCAAAGTTGAGGGCAGATAATGATATAATAATCCTTGCATTTGATAGAGCGCTTTTCACGTCTTCTCGACATCTCAAAGCGCTTCGCAGAATAGACTGTAATATAGCTTTTAGAAGAGCCTGAAGCGATTAGGATTCTTTTCATTGGAGCAGAGAAAGTTGAGGAATGGTATAATAAAGGTGTTCAAGTTAATGAAAGGGTTTGGGAGGATAAATGATGAGGAACTATTTCCAAAGATAAGTGATTTGAGGACAAGGGCATGAATATTAGATTATAACCGGTTGTTTGAAAGAGGAAAAATATTTTTCTGTTAAGAGGGCTTGCTAGCCTCTGGAATTAATTGCCAGGCAAATTTGATTTTTGGGGGGAGCAGGGAATTAGGATTCAGATAGATTGCTGCTTTGGAAGAACATGTAACAGTACAAATATTGTAGAATGGATCGAATGACCTACCGTGTCATATATTTCTATGATAATATGGATGATGTTGACTATACCTAAACCCAATATAAATTTGTGTTATCTTTTGTAGCGCTTTGTGTAAAAGGCATTATTTAACTGCATGCTGTTGTTTTGCAAATGGTATCTGGATTTTCACCCAAAAAATAAACTGAGAGAGATTCCAGGTACTAGTGACCTCAGGCTGTTTGAGAATCGGTTCTGAAATCTCAAGTCGCCCATAAATATGATACACAACTGGCAGTCAGCAGTCAAGAATTAGTTCAAAAGACTTGTTGGTAACCCGTTGGCATGCAGTTCTGTGATGTGACTCATTCAGTTGGTATGTACTGTCAGCGCTCAGTGTGGGGCAGATTTGCTAATATTTAGAACTGATAATCCTGTTCTATCTTGCTAAGTTCTATAGTCCTATAGTTTGTTTTACAGAGGTTGGTAGCTGGTTGGCTATTCTATTCTATTCTGTTGGCCTCCTGAGGTGGATGCACATACAATGTTGCCATTGTCCTGCAATCCAGAGATCCCAGCACGTACAGCTCCAGTTGTATTTAAATTGTTTTGAAAAATTCTGCAGTATATAAGATAAAACAGTTTAAGTTGATACAGTAGAATCATTTTATCAATGCAGTTGGGGTGTGGATCCCAGTATTTCCCAAAATGCACTGGTGAGCGAAGCACCCCGATAATCTAGAACAGTAAAGATGTGCTGCCATTTTTATCTTGATTCAATTTTCTTGATTTATGGCATAAATCAAAAAATGTTTAATCAATAACATTTATTTTGTTGGCCAACCAAAAAGGTTGGCCCAGGATTATTCTATTATGAATACTCTAGAGTGGCCACTTCTTGACAACCCCGTGGGCCATCAGTAATCTAGAAGTTGGCTATTTTTTATGTGAAAGGATCGTTGTGTAATTGTCCCTTGGGTTCTCTATTCAGCTGCTGTGTTTGCTGTGATCGTCTCAGCACTTGGTATTATGAAAAAGATGGAAAGCTGTACTGTCACAATGACTATGGGTTAAAGTTTGGAGAGTCTTGTCATGGCTGCTCTTTGGTAATGACTGGTCCAGTGATGGTAAGTGTTCTCCAGTATCATGAAATAGTTTGACCATTGTCCATTTCAAGAAGCACTTCAGGCAGCAAGTTCCACAATCTCACTACCCTCTGCATGAAGTTGTTCCTTCTAAATTCTCTTTTAGATCCCCTAGTTCTTATCTATAAAGTCTGAAACAGCTTCATGGGACTGCACTCTCCTGGTTCAATTCCTGTTTGACTCATCTGCCTCCACTTTGTCGCCTCAAATGTTTTTTCCTCCTGCCCATGTCACTTCGAGTCTACCTCAGGGCTCTATCATGGGCTCCCTCATTTACATGCTCTTGGTAAATTCATGCACAGGCATGTGGTTAACTTCCACATGAATGTAGATGACACCCAGATCTACTTCTCCTCCTCTGGTTGTATCCTCACCAATTCCAAACTCCGCACCCAATCCTTGCCAGTTTCCATTGGCTTCCTGTCTCTGAAAGGATCGATTTCAAGATTCTCACCCTCATCTACAAATGGCTTCATTCCTTAGCAACTTCCTACTTCTCTGACTTGCTCAAACCCCACACCACCACGCCTTGCTGCACACCCTCCTTTCTCCCACTCACCTTCCCCCTTGCTGTGATGGACATGTGTCTGTAATAAATCTTTGATCTAACTGACAGAATATGCTTTAAACTGTTTTTTTTTCTCCCTGAAGGTTGCAGGTCAATATAAATTCCACCCAGAGTGTTTTTCATGTATGCATTGTAAGGTAATAATTGGAGATGGAGATACATATGCCCTTGTTCAGCGATCAAAGCTCTTCTGGTAAGACTGGCTGCTTGTAGCAACTAATTTAGTCCTGGAAGGCCTCTTGATACAGTAAAACTCACATAAGTTGTATCAGACGGGACCATAACATTTAATTTTATTTACACCAAGTCTGAGTTGTATAAATGGAATAAAATCCCACTTAACTAATAATCTACACTGTACACGTGTAATTCTCTACAGCTGGTAAGTGTGGGAGTAATGGGGGATAGGGGAGTGGAGTTACGAGTTCAGGGGTGATTAATATGAGTAGTGCAAAGAAATCTTAAGTGGTTTTGTTAGGAATGCATGACTTGTGCAATTTATAAAGATAAAACTTGTGTGAGTTTTACTGTACCATCGTTTGGTATATCTTAGTGTCTGTGGAAGCAGCAGGTGCATTCCACATACCTTGTAAGACTGCCTTCAGTTGTAGTGGCTTGATTTAGATTCCAGAGGTAACTTTACTGCTGTGCCATCCATGTATGTCATTGTCTTGAAATATTTAAAAGATAATTTCATTCTTTCTGGGTTGTAGACATAACGTGTCCTGTTAGTTGATGAATTGATCTGGACCTTCCATACCTAACCTTGTTCTTCACTTTCTTCACAGTGGGACATGTCATAACCAGATTGTCCTGTCGCCCATGTTTGAAAGGCTCTTCCCTGATTCACTACAGGATTTATTGCCTCACATTTTGACTTTAGTTTCAATCCCAGCAGCAACACATGGAAAAAGAGGATTCTCTGTTTCAATTGATGGTGATAGCTCCACAACTGCTACAAGTGTCCAGATTAACAAGTAGGTTCAGTTCAGATTCAGTCTGAAATCTGCTGATACCATCACCTTCTCCTCGCTCAGCTCCACTGACTTTCTTTCCCCAGAGGATCAGCTTTAAGATTCTTGTCCTTGTCTCCATTGCCTTGTCCCACACAACCTTCATGATCTCTTGCAATGCTACTCCCCTGCCCAGGAACTTCACTCTGCAAACTCTGGCTTCCTTCATTTCCTCTGCCTCTCCATCACCTCTCAGCTACTTTGCCTGTACTCTGGAACTCTTCTGAAATTCTTCCACCTTGACCTTCTCTGCTTTGAAAACCAGCCTGAAAATCTAATTCTTCTGCATCTTCCACAGTAAGCTTTCAGGAGGAGCTTTTAACCCAGGACTTCAACGAAGACTGAATTAAATGGCATTTATAGTAAAGAATTTAATAATAATAATAATAATCTTTGCATTGATGTAGTGCCTTATCATGTCTTCGAGACATCTCAAAGCGCTTCACAGATTATCTTGTAAAGTGAATTGACTGTATATTTTGTGGGCAAAACATTTGAATTACATTATGATCACGTGATTACAAGCTACAAGTTACAAATTAAATGACAAATGACTGCTTACCATTTTCGATTCAGAGCTAAACGGAAAGTTGTATTTAAATGATCCCAGAAAGTTAGATTTATGAACCTAAATTATTTTGTTATTGGTAACCCAGAGTCTAGTTCCTCCTTGTGGCAGAATATTTTATTTGCGCAGAATTTGCCAACTGATCTGCAGGTGGAGCTATTGAATTACTTGACTGGTAACTCAGCTTCTTTCATTGTATTGGCAATTAAGGTTTATGAAATATTCAGAGAAAAAAATGTGTTTTTAAAAAAGGTTGTAACCAGCTAAAAGTATTTTCTTCTATTTTGATTTGGAATAGTGTTTCCAGGATGCAGATCAGTCCTGATGTTCAGAAGGTGATCCATCCAGGAGACCGTGTCCTTGAAATTAATGGAACTCCCATCCGTAATCTATTTGTGGATGAGGTGAGTGAGCTGCCATCCTCTTGTCCTTTGGCACAATACAGTATCTCTTTCCAAACATGTTTAGAAAATTACTGTCATAGTCTCCATCATCTCTTCATTGACTTCATTAATCAGTAAATAAAGGCAGAATACTTACAAAGCATTCCTTCAGGTTTCCTGCCTTTAACTCAGATGGTTCCACTTCATATTTTATTGTACTCTTCATATATTTTTTAAAGTGTTCACTACTATCCTTTGTTAGCCACTAATCTTCCCTTCTATGTCTTTTATATTTCTAATTGTTCTTTTTTTGTGTGACCTATATTTATCTGGTTATCTTTATCTTGTTGCTGCCAGAGATGTGGGAACAGGCACCTGTTCAAGCAATGCTTTGAAAAAAGTATGGAAAATGTAATGTTCAACCAGGTTGATTATGTTTTATGTTGCTGGCTAAAATCTTGATTGCTTCTTGCTTCTTCCGTCAGGTTGAAGATCTTATCCAGAAAACTAATCAATCACTACAGATACTCATTGAACACGATCCAGTTCTTCAGGCACGAGAAGTACCAGAACATTCTGCTTGCTCACTGTCTCCTTCATCACTGCAACATTGTAAAGAGACTCTAGCTGATGAAGGTACCCTGAGGAGACGATCCCTTAGGTTAGAAAAAAAATTAATTATTGATCTAAGAAATTTCTTCTCACTGTAAAATGTTAACATATTAACAGTGAGTCCTTCTGCCACCTATTTGCCTCATAATTTTGCCGTGCAGAGAGTTCCCCTCAGATTGGATGATGGGAGGTTGGTTAAAGTCATTAAACAGAAACAAGGTACGTGCTCAAAGGATTGAAAAATGAAATTCCAAACTTCTCGATGTTAGTCTAAAGGAAATAACACTGACCATAAAAGATGCTCTCTGGTCATTCTTCATTTTTTTGATAAGGATTTTTGTCAAATGTAAGGATTTTTTGTAAGGATTATTTTCATATTGTTTTCATTGAATGGGGAACAAAGGGACTCCCAAGTAAAAAAAATTAAAAAAAAAATCTCTTTATTATACTCCATAACCTTGTGTGTTCTATGCTTGAACACACATAATAAAAATGTAAGCTAAATGGTGTCAGTTCAGTGGTACACTCTCGGCTCTGAGTCAGAAGGTTTTGAGTTCAAATCCCATACTGGGACTTGAACTCACATAGTCTATAAACTGACACTCTAATGTAGTGCTGGGGTTGTGTTGCGTTATCAGAGGTGCTGTCCTTCAAAGGAGACGTAAAATTGAGGTCACATCTGCCTGTTCAGGTGGACATTAAAGATCTCATGGCACCATTCGAAAAGAGAAGGGAGTTTGTCCTGGCCAACAATCCCCCAAATAAAATTGGTCACTCATTCCAAGCTGTTTATGGAATACTGCTATGCCCATTTGTGCTGTGACAATTGCCTACAAACAGACAGTCACTCTATTCCACAGTAATTCCTGTGAAGTGCTTTGAGGCATCCTTCCGATGTAATAAGGGGCTATATCAAATGCAAGGACTCAATCCACGACTCTGATTGTTTGTGGGACGCTGCTGTGCACAATTGGCTGCCTCTTTTCTCTTCGACCGTGCCTTCAGCTCCCCTCTCGACTCTCTACCCCCTCCTCGCTCCCTCCCTTCCCTCCCCCTGACCATTTCCCCCCTGCTCGGGTCATGACCCAACTGTGCAGCGCCTTGGGACGTCCTCCTGACGTGAAAGGCGCTTTATAAATGGAATCTTGTTGTTGTTGTTACAAAATATACAGTCAATTCTGTTTACAGTGTATCATGTGAAGCACTTTGCGACGTCTCGAAGGTGTGATAAGGCGCTATATCAAATGCAAGGATTATTATTAGAAAACTGGCATGGACTGATTGGACTAAACGGCCTATTTCTATGCCGTATCACTCTATGTAACTATTATACTCTGTAACATTTACACAGCGCCGTTTTCTCTTCGGAAGGACGTCTAAAAGTGCTCAACACTGCTGGCTGGGCATCTGAGCTGGGGTTGGGGGCCGAGTGAAGTGGGATGGTGAAAAGAATTAGGTCTTTGTGTGGCTTGAAAGAGAGGAGGGAGGGAACGGATGGGAGGGACTCCCAAGAATAGAGCTCCAGAGAAGGGGGTCAAAATGGTGATGGTGGGGCAGATGGGGTGGGTGGAAACTTGGTGTTTGCTCTGTAAAGAGAACAGCCGGGTCGGGAGGTCATGGGAGGGTGCTTGAAGGATATAGAGTAGTTTCTCACTGGGGAAAGGGAGTTTTCTGTGAGGAAACTGGACAACATGCCACTCAGTGTCTTGACTTCAGTCCCCCCCCTCCCCCGTGACGGTGAAAGGAGACTCCGATTGTCCTGACAATGAACAGTGTTGTACAGTGTTGCAGAGAAGCATGTGAACTGCTGAGTTTGTACTCTAAATCCAGAAAGCATAGGCGTTTGAAAGTCTTTTGAGCTGTGATATGGCTATCATTGGCTCACAGTCCAGGCTGAAATTCCAATCAAGTGCTGTGAAGCGGTGTCCTCCTGGCCAACAATCGCGGATAAATTGCCCCTTCACTTCTTAGCCATTTGTGAGACATTCAGCCTGATTGGAACCAGCTTGTAAGCTCTTTATTTTCATTTTATTAAGAAAACCGTGAAAAAGACTATTTTTAAACTGCCATACAGAATCTACATTTTACAACAGTTACCTGTGAAGCACGTTGAGACATCTTAATGTTATGAATGCTGAACCAAATTATCATAATACAGTATCCTGTATAATAATATGATATAATAATATATAATACAGTAATTCCTTTTGTATATTCAAGACCAAAGCCTTTTTTAAAAAAAGGCAAGACAGTGGACGCCATGTGTCTATCATGATGCTTTCATGTACCATAAAACCGAAAACTTGTGCAGTTTTCAGAAGGGGTCACAACATACCAACCCAAAGCAAGAACCCAGATTTATTTTATTCTCTCCTTAGCTAGGAGCACTATTTCTCGCCTGACATCACCGAGCCCAGCCCACTCAGATCACATCTTGGACCTTTTGTCTTATGACCTTATGTGGAGACCTGCAGCTCAGTGGTTAGAGCACTCGCTTTGCAAGAGAGACCTGAGTTCAATTCCAGGCAGGGAAACCTTGGGCAAGTTTCCTTACTCCACACATCTAATAATAATCCCTCCAAAACAATAATAAATTGGTCATTTTAAATCCATGACTGTTTGTGGGACACTGCTGTGCGCAATTGGCTGCCGCGTTCGCCCACAAATATACAGTCAATTCACTTTACGGTGTGTTCTGTGAAGCGCTTTGGGATGTCCTCCCGACGTAAAAAGCACTGTATCAAATGCAAGGATTATTATTATTAATTCATAATGGTCATTTCACGTACAATTTTCCCAGAGATGTTGATGTGTATACTCTATCTGAGTAAATGAGTAAAACCAAATGAGTAAAAATTGTTCCATTTTTCAAATTTGTAGCCTCAGTGCATACTTCAGCAAACTGTAATGTAATCATTTAAATATCCATATCCATATTTAAATGATAACAATTACAGTTTGCTGAAGTATGCACTGAGGCTACAAATTTGAAAAATGGAACAATTTTTCCCTTACGTATTTACTAGCAGTAAATAGTAACCTTGTTGTTAGTCAATTGGCGGATCGCTTTTCCGAGGGTGATAATCCCTTCAGAATAAATAAGTAAAAATAATAAAAACACGGTCACTCAATCCACGACTGTTTGTGGAACACTGCTGTGCGCAATTGGCTGCTGTGTTTCGCCCACAAAATATACAGTCAATTCACTTTACAGTATATTCTGTGAAGCGCTTTGAGACATCTCGGAAGACGTGATAAGGCGCTGTATCAAATATAAAGATTATTATATTATAAATCCCTCCACAATTTCTGTCAAACCTGCACAATGGCCAACCCAATTATGTTATTAACAAGTTTTCACCTGAAAGCAAATAATCAGCTTACAATAAAATAAAGTTGTCTGATTTACATCAAATACTGTGATGTTTTAAAACAAAAGTCACGCGTCCTGCTAAACTGATTATATTTGTTATCTGACATCCATCAGAAACCTGTACCACGGAATTAAAGCCGCAAAGAGGATTAAAATGCATCTTGCATTTTGATATAGCACCTTTCACATCAGGGAGGACATCTCAAAGCACTTCACAAGGTTTACTCTAAAAGTGCAGTGACTATTTTGTAGGCAATCTTTGGTAAGCATTAACTGGGCAGGAAAATTCGGAACTAACATTTAATTGATATGAATGAAAAAAAGGTGGTGCTGTATGGTCTTCATTTTTCAATCTCTGGACAGTGTATTGGTTAAGTATTCACATCCAAGATATTCATATTAGAGAAATAGTCACGGAAGTAAAGCCAATAATTTATTTTACTTCATGTGATTTCTATAATGTGTTTTATGTTTTAATTTTCTTCAGGCGCAGTAACAGCACTTGCAAATCTCCAGGACCTTCCTCGCCAACTGCACCCATGCTAAACCGTGAGATTAGCCGCTCGGAATCTCTGCGATCCATAACAAGCTGCTCTCACCGAATCTTCCGGCCTTGTGACCTGATCCACGGTGAAGTACTTGGCAAAGGATTCTTTGGTCAGGCTATCAAGGTTAGATTACAATGCAAATCTCAACTGGCAATAACAACAACAACTAACAATAAACCTTACATTTGATACAGTGCTTTTCACGTCTTCTAGACATCTTAAAGCGCTTCACAGGATATACTGTAAAGTGGATTAACTGTGTATTTTGTGGGCGAAACGCGGCAGCCAATTGCGCACAGCAGTGTCCAATAAACAGTCGTACATTGAGTGACCAAATTATTATTGATTTTTTCTTTGAGGGATTATTATCGCCGGAAAAGTGTTCCACCAATCGACTAACAACCTACTTATGCTAGGTAAACAGAGGCGTGTGGAGTAAGGAAACTTGCCCAACGTTTCGCCCTGCCGGGAATAGAACCCAAGTCTCTCGCTTGCTCTAACTGCTGAGCTACAGGACTTCACAATGCTAAAAGTACACTATCCAAATCAAAGTGAGAAGAGACTTAGAATTCCCACTATCTAACCAGAATATATGTTCATATACATGAATCTGCAGTGTTAAATCAACTACGGGCCATCACTGTTTAGCATTATCGTGCAATAATAACAATCCTTACATTTCAGCCCTTCACATTGGGAGGCCATCTCAGAGTACTTTAGGACATAAAATAGTACAGTTTACTTTTATATAGCACCTTTGACATCCCAATCTGCATTCACAGCTGGATGGGCACCTGATCTGGGGAGGGGAAAGCACAGTCAAAGAGGTACGCTTTAAAACGTTGAAAGATTTATTCTAAAGCATAGAAGGGAGAGAGCAAGGCCGGTCTCAAGACCTTTCTCTTCGACCATGCCTTCACCTCCCCTCTCGACTCTCTACCCCTTCCTCGCTCTCTCCCTTCCCTCCCCTCACCCTGACCATTTCCCCCCTGCTCGGGTCCTAACCCAATTGTCCAGCGCCTTGGGACGTCCTCCCGTCCTCATCTGTAAATGAAATCTTGTTGTTATTTTCTGTGAAGCTCTTTGAGATGTCGAGAAGACGTGAAAAGCGCTATATCAAATGCAAGGATTATTTTTTATTATGTCAATGTATAGACTAATATTCTAAACTGAAGCTTTGGGAGAATGTTTTAGGAAGTATTAATTGTGGAGTCCTGTAGCTCAGTGGTTAGAGCACTCGCTTTGCAAGTGGGAGACCTGAGTTCAATTCCAGGCAGAGGGCGAAACCTTGGGCAAGTTTCCTTACTCCACACAGAGCCTAATAATAATCCCTCCAAAACCAAAAACAATAATAAATTGGTCATTTTCGATCTACAACTGTTTGTGGGACATTGCTGTGCGCCATTGGCTGCCGCGTTCGCCCACAAATATACAGTCAATTCACTTTACAGTGTGTTCTGTGAAGCGCTTTAGGACGTCCTCCCGACGTGAAAAGCGCTATATCAAATGCAAGGATTATTATTATTATTATAGTGACACTAATGATTTATGTAGCTCCCTTCATATAGGGTAGTGTCTCAGAGCGCTGAAAATCAATACTCTTAAGTAACAATCTTCAGTGTCAGTAAATATCAGCATTGCTAACTTGGGAAAGGGTAACAGAAAGGAGTTTAGTGTTGTCACTTGGATTTCACAGAAGTCTGTAGAAATTTCAGCACATACAAATGACAGTTAGTCCATATCTGTGACATGCAAGCTCTCTTTTGGAGAAATCTGCTCTAATCCCATTTTTCTGCTGTTTAAATACTCTTTGTGTTTGTATATTTCAAATATGCATCAATTTCCTTTTTAAATGAAGTAGCATAATTGACTTGTGTCAATGGCCACTTTAATATATTCTCGTAAAGGTCCTCCCCCCCCCCCCCCCCGCTCCCCTCGAAGACCGATGCCTGACACATAGCCAGTGAGGAAACCCTGAGGCTGGGGCGGCAGCTGCTGGAAGGTGTTACCTGGAGTCTGAGTTTGGGACACGCGTTCGTACGTCCAGCGCCTGGAGCCCACCTTGATTGGCTGAGGCCAGCAGCTGCTGCTTAAGCTCCACAGCTCCAACTGGTGGAACCATCGCTCAATGGGAAGGGACGTGTGCCTGAGTTACGGACAGGAAGATGGTGGCAATGCTCTCACACGTTTCATGCTGAACTGTGTTGCCCACTGGAAAACTTGCAGGGAGTTCCTGGTACCTGCTAGTAAGGCTCAAACCCACACTTATCAGATGTCGAATGACCAACTAGTAACTATGGGCAGGAAAGTTGAGCGGGGTCTCCTTGGAGCTGAACTGGCTCCAGGGTGACATGCCTGGCAATCGAATGTCGGAATCGAGCCAGGCCTCTGTGGCGGTCTCGGTTGTCCAATTCCTGAGCTAGGCAGGTCCTCAGTGTTCTAGGGAACTCACTGCTGATGACAGCACAGCCCAGCCTGGCTCATCGGCAGAACTTGGAAGGGCCAACCAGACACTGGGGGAAGGGAGTCATCCCACTCAGCTTCTGTTAACCCTGCAAGCCAAAGCCTTAACGGGGAGGGTGGTCCTAGCTGGACAAACAGTGGGAAAGCTTGCCAGATAGCAATATCAATGGCAAACTACGCGGTTTTAGTTGGTTAGCCTCCAGCAACCCCAACACACACTCTGGAGTCCTCAAGCCTTGGCTCGTGCCAACCTGTGCCTAATATTTTCTGGAATTAGGTAAACGGGATACATCCCTCCAGGGAGAGAGTGAGCATTCCATTCCAACAATATATCTCTGGGATTTCCGTGTGTAGGTGGGATGCCTGGAATTCTCAGCTTCATTTGGATACTCTTAAGCATATGATGGGTTTCCGCATGTGTCAGACACCCTGCTGACCAAAAATAGATCATTAATATTAATAACTTTGTGTAAGAACAAATTCTTTCAACCTTCTAAAATGATGCTGATTGAACACAGAAAGAAAATCATGTGTTCACACAGTGACTGGCCTAAGATTCTTTGGTGAGATAAGGCCGGACTGAATGAAAATAATAATAATAATCCTTGCATTTGATATAGTGCCTTATCGGGTCAGACATCAAGTCCTGGATGAGAAGTTAAATCAGTTGAACGTCAACAAGGCCGAGGTTCTCCTGATTGGCTCCTGTCAGCGCCTCCTCACCTCAGGTGCTGACAGCATTGCTATCCATGGTTGCACACTCAGCGGGCTCGGCCTGCTTCACGTACCCCACCTTGCTCACCCCACTACAACAGCAACAACAACTTGGATGTATATAGTGCCCTCCACGCCGGACGGCGTCTCAGAGCGCTTTACAGTAACGAGCCAGGGGTAGGGGGAGGAGCCAGGGGGAGGGGGGGGAAGGTGACCAAAGGTGCGGTCGAAAAGAAAGGTCTTCAGCAGAGACCTGAAAATGGGAAGAGAGGGAGCGAGACGAAGGGAGTGAGGAAGCGAGTTCCAGAGCCTCTGGGTATAGTGGCTGAAGGCACGGCCACCGAGGGTGGAGCGGAGGACTCGGGGGACAAGTAGGAGGCCAGACCCGGAGGAACGAAGGCAACGGATACTGTTTTGAGGAGAGAGGAGGTCAGAGAGGTTGGGGTGTGCAGAAGAGTAGAGGGATTTGAATACAAGGGTGAGGATCTTGAAATGGATCCTCTCTGGGACAGGAGCCAGTGCAGTCTGGCCAGGACTGGGGGGATCGGGGAGCGGAGTTTGGTGCGGGTGAGAATTCGGGCGGCAGAGTTTTGAATGATTTGGATTTTATGGATGGTAGTGGAGGGAAGACCGGTGAGGAGGGCGTTAGAGTAGTCCATCCAAGAGGTGACAAAGGCATGGACCCGGGTTTCAGCGGCTTTTGGGGAGAGGTATTGGCAGAGACGGGCGATGCGTCGGAGGTGGTAGAAGGCAGTGCTGGTGAGGGACCGGGTGTGGGGGAGGAAGGATTAATTGGGGGTTGAACCTGACGCCTAGGTTGCGTATGGGTTTGGAGTGTTTTAGGGGGAGGTCGGGTAGGTGGAGGAGGTGAGAGCCGTGAGATTTTAGACGTTGACGAGAGCCAAAGAGTATTGCTTCCGTCTTGTCAACGTTCAGCTGAAGGAAATTTGCGCTCATCCAGCCTCTGAGATCTGACAGGCAGCTGACAGAACATCAGGGGACTGGGGTCTATTGGGACTATTGGCGGGCGGGCCTTCAGCCACTCTGCCCCCACCCTCTGGAACTCCATCCCATGGTCCCTCAAGACCCTCCTCTTTGACTGTACTTTTGATCTCCCTGCTTCCCCCCCCTCCGCCCTCCATCCTCCCCCACCCCAACCCCCAGCTCGCATCCGTAGCTCTACCTGCACCTTGGGACGTCCTCCCGACGTGAAAGACTTCATACAAATGTAATTTGTTGTCATTGATGCGTCTCAAAGAGCTTCACATGATTTACTGCAAAGTGGATTAACTGTATTTTGTGAGCGAAACGCGGCAGCATAAACAGCCATAAAGTGAGTGACCAATCTTATTTGGGAGATAGTTGGCCAGGACATCAGTAGAAACTCCTTTCTCTTTTCAAATAGTGTCGTGGAATCTTTATCATCCACCTGAAGGCACATCGGACTTTGGTTTAACATCTCATGCAAAGGACCAGATCTCTGACAATGCAACACTCCCCAATACTGCATTGGAGTTTGATCTTAGACTGTGTGATTACACGTCCCGATGTGGGCTTGAACCCCCAACCTTCTGACTCTGAGGCCAGAGTCAGCCTAGTGCCACTGCACTAGGCTGACAGAAGAAAAGTCACCATTGATCATTTTTAGGGAAAGCAGAACTCAGATATTTGGAGGAATGCAGAAAATTCTTGTCCTCACAGACAGAAACATCTGTCAAGAATCTTATTCCCAATCACCCTGGTGTAAGTATAAGTGTAAGGATATTGATTAAACCTTCAGTTGTTGTAGCCTCAACAACAATTAACCAATTGAAACACCATCAGCGCTCATTCTAAACAAATTGACACTCAGAGCAGCTATTTTTCTCTCCTTTTGTGCAGTTGCTAACTTGTACTGGGGTTCAATTGTGCCTGTTATTTGTACAAGAGTATGCAGTGGGTTGTGACAGGTTATTCAACTGCAGAAATCTAGTGTGATTCTGTCTCATATCCACACACTTGCATTTTCTAGCAAGGGTAACTAGATAGCAATGGGAATCGCAGACTGATTTTATTTTCCCTCTCACTATCCCGGGAACAATGAGGTTAATTGTAGTATCCAACAATCAACAAAAATGAGCTAACACAGCATAGACTGCAACCTAACCCAAGTGCTTAGAGCTGTGTGGCTTTTATCCATTGGACTATTAGGAAGCTTGAAGAATATTTATTTTAATACAAATATTGAACCCACAGTGTTAGGAGAGAATCTTCCTGTAGTTTTTAAAACACGTTTTTCAATGTTTCCATAATTTGGTTTTAAATAATCTCTTTTTTAAATTTAAATAGGTGACTCATAAAGCCTCAGGAGAAGTAATGGTGATGAAGGAACTAATACGGTGTGATGAGGAAACTCAAAGAACGTTTCTAAAAGAGGTGAGAGGAAAATACTAAACATGACTTTTAATGCAATTAAGTGGCTACATCAAATTATGATTTAATCACACATCTCAGGATAACTTCCACAAATTATGCACTTTCATTCCTTTTATGGCTGCTTTTTAACTAAACTATGTAACCCCCCCCCTTTTTAGGTGACCCCATTTCCTAAATGAAAGTTTTATCTCTAGTTTTGAATCAGGTTTGGGACAAGTACCCCATTTATGCTGCCTGGTCTAGGGTTTGTTTACTTCAAGAGTAGGCGCACTGTGGACCAGATCCGTCTTACACAAACTCTGCATGCTAAAGCCATCACCTTCTCATGCTAAAAATGTCCGCCTTCCTGGTGGTCAAGATGCAGTTGATGTCTGCTAAAACACTGGGCGCTATGGAAGCAATGCTGTAGCCATCGCTTTCCAAAGGCCGTGAGTTCTGCAGTGTCTGCACAGCACACAGGATGTGGCATCAGCTGTGCTCCCTGAAAATAGAGAACGTGCACACACAACATTATGTTAGTGGTGGCCTGATAACCCAGAAGGTGGCCATTTATATTTTTGTACTTTGTTTTAAAATGGAGGGGACTGAGTTTTTCCAGAACGCAAATTTAAAAAAAACAATGTAAGTCCCCCTTTAGGTGACCACATTTCCTATATGAAAGTTTTATTTCTGGTTTTGATTCAGGGTTGGAACAAGCACCCCATTATAATACTCCCTGGTTTAGTGATATTTTTGCTTATAGAGTAGGTGATCTGTGGACTTATATATGCTGACATCTTGTAATTCATAAAAAGTTTTCATGCTCATTTATTATTGCAGTCTGTCCTGTCTGGTGTCTGTCCTGAAATTACCCTTGAAAACTCTGAACCTATTCCCTTTTGTCCAGCTGCATTGGCATGTCTTGACAGTATTTTTCTGGGTTTACTGACTTAATCCCATTTAGCACCTCTGTAAGCACCTCTTCCTCACTTTGTAAGGCTGAGGAGCATGACATTATCTGCTTGTTACTCTAAACTCAGCCAGGCATCCTTTTTACTCTCACTCGTAACTGCCGAACTACACAGATGTGGCTTGACTGGCGCACTCTTCAGCTTGACCATGATTTTGGGGGATGTGAACTCTGATTTGGCAATATTGCCCGAGATCCTGTTTGTGTTGTTTACTGCTGCACACACTGTTTGGTCATAGTAACTGACAAGTTACTAACACCCTATCTCTGGATTTAAAAGTTGCATTTTGTTTGGTCAGCAAGGTGTGGACATATGCAGAAAGCCATGATTATCCAAGCTAGACAGAGTTCCACATATGCATGACAACTCAACATAGAAATTTCCCTGTGTCTGAAATGGAATGCGTACTCTCTCCCTCGAGGGATACACCTGCCTTACCTAATTCCGGAGAATATTAGGTGTAGGCTATCCAGAACCAAGGCTTATGGACTTTACAGTTTGCATCAGGATTTTGCTGGAGTTTAACCAATTAAAACCACATATCTTGCCATTGATAGCACTGCCTGGCAAGCTTTCCGCTCCTTATCCAGCTAGGACCACTCTACCTCTTAGGGCTTTGCCGTGCAGAGTTAACAGGAGTCACAAATCCACTGCTTGGTTCTGGACTTCACAATTAGGCCAAAGGAAAGTCCTCTGCTGCATGCCTGGGAGTTCTGAATATGAAGGAGAACCTACTGGACATACATTTTATATCCACAAAAGCTTAACTTTATTGGGACCTAGTTGCAGAGAGCCAAGTGTGGTCATAGTGCCCTTCCCTTAGTGTGGTCCTGCAGGATTCTAGCAAATAGGCGGTTCCAATAAGAGCTCAAAACAAATGTAAACCCTGAACCCAGTTATACAGTCTTGTTATTGGTACAACTAAGGCATGTGATTGTTAGGTTCAAAAGTACTGTTAATAGTGGAGTTAACCACTCTGTTCAAACTATCTTGTTCTGTTGGCTGGAATTTATATACCCATGAACAGAGGAAACAACAACTGGCAATCTGTTTAGTTGTGCATGTTTTCTGCACATGAGCTACAGTACTGTGCGGCATGGTATAATGAAAGAATGAGCTACCATAGCTTGAATATACACGGGTTAAACATGGTACAGAAACCTTGCCTTAATGTCATCAGCCAGGACAGTCCTTATGCATTTGTTAAGTCATATAAATCTGTTTTCTACATAACTTTACAAAGCTGTATATGATACGACTTCCGCAAGTTTCACATAACTCATATTTTGCAAATGTCATATTAAATGTATGGTACCAACTGATATGACTTATGTGAGATTTACTGTAGTGAATCTATTTCAGCATCTTGTAATATACATTTTTTTCCTTTACAATCTGCTTTGTGCTTTGCGAACCATTAGAATACAGTTGTTTTTCACCTTTTTATGTTGCCAATCTACAGGTGAAAGTGATGCGTGGTTTACACCATACAAATGTGTTGAGGTTTATTGGCGTTCTGTACAAGGATAAGAAACTGAATCTGATAACTGAATATATAGAAGGAGGAACACTAAAAGACTATATCCGAAACATGGTAAGTAAACTGAAAAAATAAGCAGTTGAGATAATTTGTCATACAGTATTGGGTCTTGCCTGCTGCTGTTATCTATAGAACTGCTTGAATTTAGAGGAAAATATCTTATAAAGTGGGGCCTCATTACAAATAAAGCAGTTTGTATTTATACAATACAAAATTACACTTGTAAAGCACCTTTCATGTAGAGAGGACAGTCAGGGATTTGGGCCCAAACTGGGAGGGGTGATTGGCATTAGGGAGAGTAGAGGGCAGGGAGGATAGTAGTATGGCCGAAGGCACGGATGAAGAGAGGGTCTTGAAGGAGGCAAGGGAGGGAGTGAGGCAAAGGGAATGTGGGCTGGAGTTCTAAAGGGTGGGGGCAGGGATGCTGAAAGCCCAGCTGCCAATGGTGGGTGCTGGGCGGTGGACTTGGAGCAGGCTGGAGCCCGCTGAGCAGAGGGAGTGGGCAGGTCAATATGGGGTTAGCAGATGACAGAGGTAGGAGGGGAAGGCCGTGGAGGGCCTTGAAAGCAAAGATGAGGATTTTGAACTCTATCCTCGGGCATGGGGAGCCAGTGGACCCAGGAGAAGGTGGGGGTGATGGGGTTACGGAGCCTGGTGCAGGAGAGGATACGAGCTGCAGAGTTCTGGATGATCTACAGCCTGTGGAGGGAAGAGTTGGCCAGGCTGATAAGCAGGGAGTTAGAGTAGTCAAGCCCAGATGTGATGAATATGTGGATGAGGGTTTCGGTGGCCTGAAGGGTGAGGCAGTGGTGATGTTGCATAGGTAGGGGATGGCAGAGCGGGTCAAGGCATGGATTACGGCTTCATATTGGAGATTTGATGCACGTTTCTGTAAAAAGAAGCTTGTTTGCTTATTGTTTTATCAAATCGAATTATGCACCAGTATTGCAGTATAAGAGGGAGATGTGTGTGTGCGCGCGTGCTAGTGAGAGAGCGCATTTTGATTTTTGCGCAGTTTTAAAATTCTGTCTTCTGTTCAAGGATCATTTTCCGTGGGAAGATCGTATCAGCTTCGCCCGAGGAATTGCATCAGGAATGGTGAGCAAATTCTAGTTGTTAAACTCTTTTGGTCAATTAAGCTCAGGATTACATTTTTTGTGGAGTGTTTGATCATGTATTGAGTCATGTCGATTCATTAACTCTCATATGGAACTGCGTTGTAGGGCATGATCGGCAGAATGGCTGCCTTCTGTGCTGACATATCTGTTTCTGTTGCAGACATATCTACACTCAATGTGTATCATCCACAGGGACCTCAACTCTCACAACTGCCTGGTCAAACTGGTACGTTTCATGATGTGTTTAGGTCATAAAATATGTACAGTATACAGTGAAAAATAGCAAGATTTCTATTTAAAAAGATAGCATTGTTTTATTTTTAGAATATATTTTTGTGTGGAGAATCACAGTGGTGCTACATTTTAGAATTGTAGGATATGTATTTTCTTTCATGCACGCAAATGTACACTAGTGAATCCTAATCCCAGTTAGGTTTAACTAATTTTACAGTTCTTTTATTGGATTAGCTATTTTTTCCAGTGAGTAGGTGAACTATGCAGACCAGAAATATACAGGGTTCAATGTCTGGTCTGTGCTGAGGTAATTCATGTACAATTGGCCTCAGCACCAAAGTTAGGGAAGATGATCTCTTAGTTTACGGGACATGCATTTATTATATTATTTATAATGCACATTAATTTAGCTGTTAATCGGCAAGAATCTAGCAGTGATTTCCCATCAAACGTTCCCTATAAACAGGACCACACAATCAGTCTATATTACATTGGAACTTGAATCCTGACGCGTTTTGATTCTGTAAGAATGCTGAAATCAGTGTTTTTTAAATTCCAAAATGGAGCAAGAATTTAAAAAAGTGGTGAAGGTGGGAACTCAACGTTGGGATGGCAAGACAGTTTTATAATCAGTTGAAAGTTAAAAGATTAATAATTCACTGTTGCATGATAGAAGATTTAATTCACAACCTGAAATTCAAGAGGCCCTAAGAGCACAATTCACGCACTGGGTACAATTCAGGTCCTAATGTAAATGTTATTAGCAACACTTAAGAAATTAATGTAATAGAAATAAATTTATTTTTGCTTCAGGACAAATCTGTGGTGGTTGCTGACTTTGGACTATCACGGCTGGTGGTTGAACACAAAAAGCCTCCCCAGGAAAAAACATTACCGAGGAAACGAATGTTGAAGAAGATTGATAGGAAAAAGCGCTATACAGTCGTAGGAAATCCATATTGGATGGCCCCAGAAATGATCAATGGTGAGAAAATAATAAACATACAGTAAATCTGAAGAAAAGCTATAAAGAAATTCCCTTCCTTGTGAAGTCTGAAATTGTTGTTAGCTATACAATAGAATTTAGATTTGTATTGCACCATATCAAAGCGCTTCACACCCAAGGTGGGGGGTGGGAACAGAGAGGGTGTGAGGAGGAAAGATGACGGAAAGCACAGTCAAGAGATACATCATGAAATGGGCTTTGAATGGAGGTAGGGAGTGAGTGAGTTGGAGGGATTCCGGGATAGAGTTCCAGAGAGTGAGGACGGAATGGTGCCATTGGTGTGGTGGCAGTTGGGCCAGGGGACATGAAGCAAGCCAGTGTTCGCTGAGCGAAGGGAGCGACTGGGTTAGTAGCATTGTAGATCACAGAAGTAGGGTATCGTGAGCCTATGGAGGCATTTGAAGGTGAGGACGAGGATTTCGAATTTGATCAAAATTGGGATCAGTGGAGCCAAGAGAGGAGACAGGGTGATAGCTTTCCAGAGCTGGTGCAGGAGAGGATAAGGGCTACGTAGTTCTGGATAGTTTGCATCTTGTGTGAGGCAGATCTGGGGAGTCCGGCAAGCAGAGCATTAGCATAGTCAAGCCTGGATGTGATGAAAGCATGAATAAGGGTCTTGGCACTCAGGCGGGCATGGGGAATGGGGAGATCATGGGTAATGGAGGAGGCGAGCAGTGTTATAGAGCTGAGCCAGTAAGAGCCCAATGTAGGGTTTGACAGGCAATTGGTGATACACCTATTCTGCAAAGTGGAATAAATATCCATGCAGGTTAATGCTATAAGAAGGTACTGACTGACAGGAGCCAAGCAGAATCATAGAATTGTAATAATCATAATACTTGCATTTGATATAGCGCTTTTCACGTCTTCTAGACGTCCCAAAGCGCTTCACAGAATATACTGTAAAGTGAGTTGACTGTATATTTGTGGGCGAACGCGGCAGCCAATTGCGCACAGCAATGTCCCAGTCATGGATTGAAAATGACCAATTTATTATTGTTTTGTTTTTTGGAGGGATTATTATTAGGCTCTGTGTGGAGTAAGGAAACTTGCCCAAGGTTTCGCCCTCTGCCTGGAATTGAACTCAGGTCTCTCTTGCAAAGTGAGTGCTCAAACCACTGAGCTACAGGACTCCACGTACAGCACAAAAAGAGGCCATTCGGCCCATCGAGTCTGTGCGGCTCTTTGAATAGAGCAATTAATGTCAATCCCACTCCCCGGCCCTTTCCCCATAACCTGCAAACCCGTCCTCCTCAAATACCCGTCCACCGCGTTTTTAAAAGTAGTTATCGAATTGGCCTCGACCGCCCTTTCAGGCAGTGTTCCAGATTCGAACAACTCGCTTCGTGAAACAATATCTTCTCACCTCTCCCCTCGGCTTCTTTTAGAGACTATTTTGAATCTGTGACCTCGAGTCACCGACACTCCCACCAGTGGGAACAGTTTTTCCCTTTCTAACCAACAATTCCCCTCATGATTTTGAAGACCTCTATCAGGTCCTCGTAACCTTCTCTGCTCCAATGAGAATAATCCTAACCTCTCGCCTTTCCTCATCATCACAGTCCCTCATTCCTGGTACCATCCTCGTAAATCTCCTCTGCGCCCTTTCCAATGCCTTAACATCCTTCCTATAGTGCGGTGCCCAGAACTGGGCGCAGTATTCTAACTGAGGCCTAACCAGTGTTTATATGGGTTAATCATCACCTCCTGACTCTTGTACTCTGTGCCCCTGTTTATAAAGCCTATAACAGCCTCAGTCTTGCAAAACTTGATGTGTTGTTTAAAAGAAAATCATTTGTTGTAGTGATGTTTTTGATAAATCATTTTGTGATATAGTTAAATATTGGGCAGAAGTTTCTCTGCTGATCCATGATAATTTATGACCCATCTATCTGCTCGTATCACCTTTTTAATCATTCCTGAGCAGCTGGAGGGAACATAGTTGCCTGTTGTTACCTTGCAAAGGGAATCCCCATGTTTTTCCATGCCCAGAGTGAATAGGCTTTTACACCCTGTCAGATTGCAGTAACTGAATAGCATAGGAGGGGAATAAAAATAAATACAAACATTGCAAGGTTAATTGGCAATGTCTTTTATCACATGGTTTGTCATTTCTCCTTGACAAACCATGTGATAAAATGGTTGACCATGTGATAAAAACACTTTTGTATCGTCAGACTGTGTGAGTAAAGTTCTGCCCTGAGAGTTTCAAAATGTCAATCTTTGTGTCTGTTCAAACTGATCCCTGAGGATATGAATATTTTTGGTATTTCTGGTAAATGCTCTGTAGTGTTTGGTGTGGTATTTCTGCAGATTATTTTGGTGGGTGGCCAATTTACATTTGTGCTTTTTTTTTATTTTCCAGGTAAAAGCTATGACGAAAAAGTGGACATTTTCTCCTTTGGGATTGTTCTGTGTGAGGTAATGGCGTGCTTTGCAAAATCTGAGATGTGTGTAATATTTACTCCTTTGTTTATAATTTCAGTACAACAATTCTTTCAACAATTGCCCATTTTTTAATGTGCATTATATATTGTGCTGTTTGGATGGTTGTCTGTCTACAGGTATAGTAATACAATGGAAGCCACTTAAACCGGACACCTCGGGGCCAGCTGTTCTGTCCGGCTTAAGCAGTGACCAGTGTTAACCGAAGCTCTCTTCCCGCCCAGCAGAGGAGTGGCGACTCCGCCTCCCTCCAGTTGTTGTCCTCAGGGACCAATTAGTGGTGGCCAATCACCAATGATTGACAGCACGGAGCCGCTTGTGAATGGAGGGCGTATCACCCATTCACGAGCGGCTCCAGCTGTCAGTCAATTGCGCTTTGACTCCTCCCGTTCCCTCGTTTCTTCCCCATTCCTCCGCCCCCCTCCCCCCCACACTGATTGACAGCCCAAAGCCGCTTGTGAATTGCTGGAGTCCGCTGTGAGAGAGAGAGAGAGAGGCAGTGAGAGAGAGAATGAGTGAGAATTTGTAGATGTTAGGTTTCTGGAAGGGAAACAAAAATATTGGTTGTGCGGCTCGCAGGTGTTTCTCAAGAATGGCATCCAGCCCACCGCAGCCAAAAGTTGGACCCCCCTGATTATAGGGCATTAGCTACTCACTTGTTCAGTGAACATGGGTATTGTTATAGGTTGGGATTTTATGATCTAACTACTGTGTTTTAACAGGACTCTACTGCATTTACAATGTTATCAAAACCATTTGGATTTCCTGTTAGCATGCAGCATCATTAATAATGAATGCAGACCTACTGAGATAAATTTCCCAAAGCACATTAATTTAGCTCCTTGTCCTGTTTTGTTTTCTTTCTGTGGTCAGCAGTCTGACGCTGAAAGTCATCTTTAACATCTTTATAATTTACCTCCTTCTGTAAACAACCTGATGACTGTCAGACTGGGTTCTTACAGTCTCGATAAACACTGGACAGCTCCCAGCTTTTCTGCTTGAAGCCGGGACAAACCACCCAAGTAAGAATGTTATCAAAGAGCAGAATTTTAATCCATGCTCTGCCTGCTTCATATGATCCATTACTTTGTTTTGCTTACCCCCCACCCAACTGTTTACTCATTACTGCATCTTCACAAAAAGCTTTCCAAAAGTGCACCCTCGCATCCCAAAACAAACCAATCATCGTCTACCCATGATTACAATGCATTGTTTTAGGGCTTGGAGACATTCTGCCTTACATTGACTGCATTTAACACCTGATTCATTGAACACACACGTTTTAACTTGTTTTGTATCTTGCCATTGCTAACGTTTGCTTGACTTAGTCGATATCTGTACCAATCTTGAAGCAAGATTACAGTTAGCCCTACAGTTTTATTGTCCTGTCTCTGTGTCTTTCAATTTTGCCTTTAGATATTGTTGTCTGTCATAGTCTTGTCAAATGACCTGGGACGCTACCCTGCATGAGGGGTGCTATATAAATGCAAGTTGTTGTTGTAGTAACCAGTGTTTTGCATCCCTTGCTGAAGCAGAGCCAAGTACAATCTTCCATGTAATTGAAATCAACTGGTGCTTTGTAAATACACTCCCAGTGCAACAATTTGCTGTCCTGACCAAATAAAGTTACCTCAGCTCCATAATCTTCCTTCGCATTCACACACCACACTAAAACACACAATTTTGTGGCCACAGTATAATCAAGAGTTATGAAAATGTCTCATCTAGCAATATGTCTTACCGCAGCAAAATCTCTTTCAAATATCAACTGTTTTGAACATCTTTATTTCACCTTGTCAATAAGTTGAAAATGATTTGGACTAACTGAAACGTATGATGTGCATCTGAGCTAGATATATCAGGAAAGTCTGGGCTCAGTGATTTGGTTTCAATGCTGGCTACATCTGTCTGTGGCCTGAGCAGTAAAAATTAATTTAGGTTCCCAATCCTAATTGCTATCCAGAGACCCTGCTGATAAATGTTCATGTGAATGATAAATGTTCATCTGTCAGACATCAAGTCCTGGATGAGAACTCTAACTTTCTACTGTTGAATGTCAACAAGACCGAGGCTCTCCTGCTTGGCTCCCGTCAGCATTTCCACACCTAGGAAGGCTTTGGGTCAGCATCTTTTAACTTATTTAACTGCTTGGTGTCCACTATCATATTTATCCAATGCTTTTATATGTACTTTTACGCATGATATAAATGCAAGATGTTGTTGCTGCGATGTCCTGATATACAAAAAAACTTTTGGTATGGACAAACTTGAGCATGAATTTTCTGTGAATTGTCCTTTTTTTCCCCTTGCAGTAAGTGGGAACATGTTGTTTGTTTACTTTCACTGTCTTCCAAACTGGTTTTGTAAGGAAAAATAGTTTAACTCCTCCAATTGCAGATCATTGGACAAGTTTATGCTGATCCAGATTTCCTGCCAAGATCAATGGACTTTGGGTTAAACGTCGATGCATTTTTCGAAAAATTTGTTCCTAAAGACTGTCCACCGGCCTTCTTCCCATTGACTGTGGCTTGTTGTGATCTGGATCCAGAAAAAAGGTAGGATTAAGAATGGCAAAATTGGGGCTTGTGAACCATGTTTTTTTTGTTAATAAGGTTTTTTAAGGTTTCACCTCCCCCTGGGGTTTAGTATAACAGGAGCAGCAGCTCCCAGTGTGGTGATTTGTTTCTGTAGCTATTCTTCAGGCATAACCTGAGATGGTGAGATTTGATGATCTGTTGTCAGCCCAGTTGAGAACTGCTTAATGTCTTCATTGTGGGGACAGCTCAAAACTTGTCATCATATTCTGACAATGTACAATACAATAACAAATTACATTTGCTCGGTGTCTTTCACGTCGGGAGGACTCCCAAGGTGCTGGACAGTCAGGGATTTCGACTCAAGATGGGGATTGTGATCAAGAGGGGTAGAGGGCAGGGAGGGTAGGGGTAGGAGGGTGGCCGAAGGTACGGTCGAAGAGGAGGGTCTTGAAGGAGGCAAGGGAGGGAGTGAGCTGAAGGGAATGTGAGATGGAGTTCTAAAGGGGGAGGGCAGAGAGGCTGAAGGCCCGACCGCCAATGATGGGGCAGGCCAGGTGGGGCATGTGGAGTATGCTGAGCGGAGGGAGCGGACAGGTTGATACAAACTTGCTTAACCTGTCAGCAGCAAATTTAAGCCAATTACTTGTAATTATTACAAAGCCTAAAGTGATTTTAATTTGTTTTTTCGTAGACCCCCATTTTCCAAATTGGAGGATTGGTTTGAGGCACTAACATTGTACTTGGAACTGAAGATTCCTCTCCCTGCGGAATTGGAGGAGCTCGACAGCCAGCTTCACAAAAGACGTGAACACAAAAGAACCAACAGTGATCTTGGGATTGAAAGCTAGTCTGTAGAGCAATGCTACCTTCCTAAAGGGGAATGTGTATAGGTCACGTTTGAATTGTTTTAAGCTGAAGCAGCCTGTCAGAAACAAGAAAGCAATCCATCTATTTGCTTAATGTTTCTTGGATTTGCTGGGTGGATGGGGTTCACGAATAGACAATGATGGACCCATAGCCTGGTGGTGGACTCTTAAAATCAGTAGATTTCTTCTAGTTTCTACTGTTGTGTTTACAGGAGCGGGGCTCTTGAATTTAACCTGGACTTTTGCCAAGAAAGAAAAAGAAAGAAGGTGGTTTCTTTGTCTACAACATTACATGAGGAGGTTTCACTGGAACAAAACCAAATGTAAGTGGGAGATGTATCCATTGCAACCGAGTCAAGATATCTTATTGTTCTGCTACATTTTTCAAAACGAGCATCAATGAACTCGATTAATCCCACGACCCTTTTATGGAAAAAGGTAACCCTCTGTTTTGGCACCTTAATGTTTATGAAGTGTTTGGGGAACAGGAAAAGGAGAGATGTCAGAATTCCTTGTGGAAGTATGTCATTTTCAATCACTAATTATATTCACAGGAAATTAAATCCTTAAGAATAAAATGACTGCACATGGACTCTTAAGCATTAAATGAAATGCAGTTTGTGGGAAGGCAACCCTTTCTGTATAACAAATTGTGAATATCAAGAACCACTACAAAACATTCCCAAGAAAAACAGTTGAATAAAAACCAAACATGTAATTCGTGTTGGTCTCCTACTTATTAAATAAAAATGGCAATAGTTGTGAACTGGAAAATATTATTAAAAAAGAATGAATAAAATCCTGAATGGACTCGATTAATTTTATTTATAAATATCATTGAACAGTTCCTGAATAAGATGGGACACAGAACTCTCAATTGATGGTTTGCATGAAAATTAAGTCACATTCTTGGATGAACACGGTTTCATGATGATTTTTTTTAAACAGATTTCACCCATTGATGAAAGTGGAAAAAAAACTTGATATTTCCATCTTAGAGTCCTAAGTGGTTAGAGCACTTACCTCGCAAGCGAGAGGATCTGGGTTTAATTCCTGGGCAAGCAAACCATTGGGCAAGTTTCCTTACTCCACACGTTTCTGTTTACCTAGGTGTTAGTTGATTGACAGATCGCTTTTCCCAGGATAATATCCCTTAAAAAAATAATTTTGTCACTCAATCCACGAATGTTTGTGGGACAGACACTGCTGTACTGCTGCCGATAATTGTTTTTTCCCCACAAAATCTAGTCAATTCACTTTACAGTATATTCTGTAAAGCATATTGAGATGTCTCAAATTATTATTATTATTATTTTATTGCCTTCTGCGATGTGTGCACATCAAAGTCCTGACAATTGATGTGCAATTGTGAACTCACAGCCCCCTGAACCCTGATGACCTCAGTGTGCTGTTGTCTGTATGAAATGCACTTCAGTCGGTCAGTCAAGTTATGTTGCTTTACAATCAGCGAGCTTTGTGTTAACTTCAGAGAACTCTAGTCACACGTTCTGAGGCTAAGCAGCAATTATACAAACCACAAACATCCTGCCCTTGAACACTCTGTCCCAAACAGCAGATCTCAATCTATCGCATCCACTGTTAAGAGTTGATAAAGCTCAGCTCTGAACCCCCAGTCACCGGTGGGGAAGATAACCTGTAATTGTGGGGAGGTTTAACTGTCTAAAGTCAATTTCCACTGAGAAGAGCAAATTCTCTTATATAATATAATAATCTTTAATAATCGTTGCATTTGATATAGCGACTTTGAGACGTCTCAAGGGAATGCAAGAATTATATACTGTAAAGTGAATTGATTGCATATTTTTGTAGGGGAAACGTGGCAGCCAATTGCGCACAGCAGTTCTGTTTTGCTGAGGATGTAGTGTCAGAGTTTGTGGCGAGGGGCTAATGTGTGAGTTTGTAATGACGTGGTTTCCTGTCAGTGTAGGGCGCACCTCACCTGCCCAGGACACAATTATCCACAGATGTGAATCACCAGCTTCACCAAAGTAGAAATTTGGAAAGGAAACACTACAAACAAATTGCTCTGTGAGCAGAGATTTCAGTGGATGTTGTGAGAAATCTTCACAATTTGAATGTAATAATCATAAAATACAGCAAGCAAGCTGGGCTCGTTTATTACAATATCACTAACTGCACGGGGGCATTTGTCCTGAGCTGCACGGTTTATATCACAGTATCTTGAAAAGCCCAACAAATGTTTTCCATTATTATGTTTGAATTTATTTTTTATGGAGGACTGGTACTGATCACATTCACATCCCCTTTATCATCACAAACAGGTGTTTGTTTTCAATGAAAGATTGCTTTTCCAGGGATAATAATCCCTTCAAAAAAGTAACAATAACTTGGTCACTCGATCCACAATTGTTTGGGAGACGCTGCTGTGTGCAATTGGCTGCCGCGTTTTGCCCATTAAAATATACAGTCAACTCACTATATTATATAAAGTATATTCTGTGAAGTGCTTTGAGACGTCTCAAAGACGTGACCCGGCGCAATATCAAATGAAAGGATTATTATTTTACATTTATCTCAGTTATAATAAAACTTTGTTTTAACCCGAGTTCAACTAAGTGTGGAGTTCCTGCCCACATATGGGTTTGTTGATAACTCATTGGATAATATCAATAACAACTTGCAATTATATAGCGTTCTTCACGTAGGGTAGTATCTGGGAGTTCTCTACTGGATGGGGCTGGAACCAAAGCAAAGGAGAGCGGGGAGGAGGTGGCAATAGGCCGGTTCATACAGCTCGAATACCCCCACTCTAAATCTCTCCTCCCACCCCCGCTATCTGCTACTCCCCCTCTGTCCTTCTCTCTCACCGCCTTCTCTCTCTCCTCGACCCCATCACCACTTCCCTCTGCTCCAGCCTGGGCATCCTCCGCCGGGCCCATCGTAGCTCCCAGCACTGGCTGTCCCAGAGCAGCGACCCCAGGTATCCCATCACTCCCTCCCTCCGCTCAAACCGCTTCCTTAAGGCAAACCCAACATCCCCCTCCCTCATACGTACCCTCCCCAAGTCTCTACTCACACCACTCTCCACAACCATCTCTCCTGAACACCCCAAGATCCTCTCCGCATCACTCTCTCCTCCTTCCCCTCCCTCCTGCAAACCCACCCGCATTTCCCTCCAAAACGTCCGTTCCTTCTCAAATAAAGTCCTCACCATCCACGACCTCATCCTGTACGAGCACCTTGACATTTTTGAGCTCACCGAAACCTGGCTCTCCCCCAATGACCCCGTCCCCCTAGTGGAAGCCTCCCCTCCCGGCTACACCTTCCACCACATCCCCCGTCCAAACCAACGTGGCGGTGGGGTGGCCTTCATTTCCAAAGCCTCCCTTGGCCTCCCCTACTCCTCTGGCTACTTCCACTCCTTTGAGCTCCTCACCCTCTTCCACCTCTCTCTCCAATTGAAAATCCTCCTTGTCTACCGCCCCCCTAAGCCCCCCGGCTCCTTCCACACAGACATCGCTCCTCTCTTCCCTGTCCCTCTACTCCGAGCACCTGCTCACAATGGGCGATTTCAACCTCTACCTAAACTCCCCCTGCACTACTTCTGCCGATTTCACTGCCCTCCTCTCCTTCGTAAACCTTACCCTTCATATAAATTCACCCACCCACAACCGTGGTCATGCCCTTGACCTCGTTATCACCCACAGCCTTGACATTTCCGACCTCAGCATAGTGGACAAGGCCATCTCGGACCACTTCTTCATCTCCTTCTCCTCTCACATCCCTCTCTTCTCCACCAAGCCCTCAACCGTACTCTACCGCCCTTGGAAAAGGCTACCCCTGAGACCCTCACAAAGGCTCTCGCATCATCAAACATCCTATCCCTCTGGCCTTCCACCCGCGGAGATCCTGAAGCAGCCGTCCAGCTGCTCCATGATCGCCTCTCCTCCACCTTCAACTCCCTCGTCCCCCTGAAATCCAGACCATCTTCAAACCCACCCAATCCTCCTGGTACAACAACCATCTCCACCGCCTAAAGACCCAAACCCGGCTGCTCGATTGCAGATGGTGGAAAACTGGCCTGACAGTTCACCGTCAACTGTGGCTCGAGCATCTCCACAGCTACCGCCGTTCCTTGACACGTGCAAACACGGCTTCTACTCCAACATCATCCTGGAGGCTAAACACAACCCTAAAATCCTTTATTCCACCACCCACTACCTCCTCCGTGCCCCCCTCAGGCCTCCTCAATCTTCACATCAAATGCCAAGTGCGAGGAGGTCATGGACTTCTTTTCATCTAAAATTCACAACATCTGCCAGGCAGCCTCATCCACCTGCCTCTTGTCACCCAACACCGCACCTTCTCTGTCTCCCTCACCTTCCCCATCATCTGCTCCTACCACTACCCCCATCCTACATTCCTTCCTCCCCATCTCTCCCTCCTCCCTCCCTCACCCACCATCACCTCCATGAAACCCACCACCTGCTGCCTCGACCCCCTCTCTACCAACTTACTGGTCACCCATCTCCCCCTCCTCTGCCCACTACTGGCTGATGTCATCAACCAGTCCCTCTCCTCCGGATCAGTCCCTGCCCCCCTCAAAACTGCTGTCATCACTCCCCTCCTGAAAAAAAACCTCCCTAGATCCCTCAAACCCCAGCCACTATCGCCCTATTTCTAACCTGCCCTTCCTCACAAAAGTCTTAGAACGTGTTGTTGCCAACCAACTCCGCGCACACCTCTCCTCCCACTCCCTCTTCGAAACCCTCCAGTCCCATACGCAACCTAGGCATCAGGTTCGACCCCCGATTATCCACATCCGGTCCCTCACCTGCACCGCCTTCTTCCACCTATGACATATCGCCCGCCTCCGCCAATACCTCTCTCCGAAAGCCGCTGAAACCCTGGCCCATGCCTTGGTCACCTCTCGGCTGGATTACTCTAATGCCCTCCTCACCGGTCTCCCATCCACTACCATCCATAAAATCCAGATCATTCAAAACTCTGCTGACCGAATTGTCACCCGCACGAAACTCCACTCCCCGATTCCCCCAGTCCTGGCCAGACTGCACTGGCTCCTGTCCCAGAGAGGATCCATTTCAAGATCCTCACCCTTGTATTCAAATCCCTCCACTCCTCTGCACCCCCTGACCTCTCTGACCTCTCTCCTCAAAACAGTACCCGTTGCCGTCGTTCCTCCAGGTCTGGCCTCCTCCGAGTACTCCGCTCCACCCTCGGCGGCCGTGCCTTCAGCCACTGTGCCCCGAGGCTCTGGAATTCCCTTCCTCACTCCCTTCCCCTCGCTCCCTTTCTTCCTATTTTCAGGTCTCTGCTGAAGACCTTTCTCTTCAACTGCTCATTTGGTCACCTTCCTCCCCCTCCCCCTGGCTCCTCCTCCTCCTCCTGGCTCCTCCCCCTCCTCCTGGCTCCTCCCCCTCCCCCTGGCTCCTCCCCCTCCCCCTGGTTCGACCCCGGGATCCGTTACTGTAAAGCACTCTGAGACGCTGTACGTCGAGGAGGGCGCTATATACATACATACATACATACATACATACATACATACATACATACATGTTGTTGTTGAATTTGAGGCAGGGCAAGTCAGAAAGGCAGGGTGAGACAAGGGTGGAGAGTGAGATGGATGGGAGGAGGGGGGGAGGGGGAGTGG